TGAATGAGGGTTAGTCGTATTTGATTCAAGTGATGGTTGTCTCCGGTTCCCTGGATCAAAAGCCCTTCCCTAGTGTCTGTTCTTCGCCTTTAAAACAAGATAATTAACATATACCAGCTAAGGCTGAACGTCAAGTAAGCTTTAGCTAAACCTGGGGATATTCACAAGCTATTTCTGAACTAAGCTTTCGGAGCTGTGTTCTCCACAGTCGGAGAGAGGAAGGTAGTGAAGCGTAGAGCATCCCGGGTACTGCCCTGGCTGGCTGGCTAGCAGGCTGGGAGTGTTCCTGACTGGCTGACTAGCTTACTGGCCGGCTGGGTAGTTGGCTGGGAGTGTTCTTGACTGGCTGGCTAGCAGGCTGGGAGTGTTCCTGTCTGGCTGGCTAGCTTGCTGGCCGGCTGGGTAGTTGGCTGGGAGTGTTCTTGACTGGCTGGCTAGCAGGCTGGGAGTGTTCCTGACTGGCTGGCTAGCTTGCTGGCCGGCTGGGTAGTTGGCTGGGAGTGTTCTTGACTGGCTGGCTAGCAGGCTGGGAGTGTTCTTGACTGGCTGGCTAGCAGGCTGGGAGTGTTCCTGACTGGCTGGCTAGCTTGCTGGCCGGCTGGGTAGTTGGCTGGGAGTGCTCTTGACTGGCTGGCTAGCAGGCTGGGAGTGTTCCTGACTGGCTGGCTAGCTTGCTGGCCGGCTGGGTAGTTGGCTGGGAGTGTTCTTGACTGGCTAGCTTGCTTGCTGGTAGTGTTCATGACTGGCTGGGTAGTTGGCTGGGAATGTTCCTGATTCCTGGGTAGATGGCTGGCTGGGAGTGTTCCTGACTGGCTAGCTGGCTGGGTGTGTTCCTGACTGGCTAGCTGGCTGGGTAATTGGCTGGGTGTGTTCCTGACTGGCTAGCTTGCTGGCTGGCTGGGAGTGTTCCTGACTGGCTGACTGGCAGGGTAGATGACTGGGAGTGTTCCTGACTGGCTACCTTGCTGGGTAGTTGACTGGCTGGGTAGCTGGCTGGGAGTGTTCGTGACTGGCTAGCTTGCTGGGTAGTTGACTAGCTGGGTACCTGGCTGGGAGTGTTCCTGACTGGCTAGCTTGCTGGGTAGCTGGCTGACTGGAAGTATCCATGACTGGTTGGTTGGCTGGCTGGCTGGTTATGAGGCTAGCTGACTGACAGGCTGGTTGGCTGTCTGAGAGGATGGCTAGCTGACTGTCTGGGTAGCGGGCTAGTTGGCTGGGATGGTGACTGGCAGGCTGGGTAGCTGGCTGAATGGTCATGCTCCAGTGATGATACAGGGCTTGCTATATTCCTATGATGGTGGTGGTGGTTGGGGCAGGGGTTGTGGTAGTGTGGTGGTTGTTGGTGCTGGTCGTGATGGTGGTTGCTATGCAGTTATTATTGTTGTCGGCGGTATTAGTAGTGGCGAATATGTCTATTGGCATATTTATCAAATATCTATCGTATAACTAGCCTCGTGGTGGTGGTGGTAGTTGAGGTGATGATGGTGTTAATTGTGGTAGCTGAAGGTTAGGCTAGTAGTGGTGGTTTGTAAGGGGTGTAGTTGTGCTGGTAGAAGGAAAGGTAGGGTGGTAGGGGTGGTATTGATGACTGATGGTAGTGGTGATAATGGAAGTGATGGTGGTAGTGGTGATGGTAGCGGTGGTGGTGATGTTGGTAGTGATGGTGGTAGTGATGGAAGCGGTGGTGATAATGGTAATAATGATGGTAGTGGTTATGGAAGCGGTGGTGGTAGCGCTGGTGGTGATGCTGGTAGTGATGATGGTAGTGGTGATAGTGGTGATGGTAGCGGTGGTTGTGATGGTAATGATGGTAGTAGTTATGGTAGCGGTGGTGGTGGTCGTGTTGTTTATGGCAGTGGTGGTGATGTTGGTAGTGGCGGTAGTGATGGTGGTAGAGATGGTAGTGACTGTGGCGGTGGTAGTACTTCTTACTACCACTCCCCTCTCCCCCCCAACTACCCACTTCAGCTTGTGGAAAACAGAGAATTCTTGGGCAGTGTCCATAAATTACATGGCTGGCTGAGTGGGCACTGGGGTGAGATGGAGCACACACACACACACACACACACACACACACACACACACACACACACACACACACACACACACACACACACACACACACGAGTACAATTAGGTTAGTACACACACAGGGGGCCAGGAGCTGTGAATCGACCCATGCAACCACAGTTAGGCGAGTATACACACACACACACACACACACACACACACACACACTCAACCACAATTAGGTGAGTACACACGCACACACACACACAGGGGCCAGGAGCTGTGAATCGACCCATCTTATTCCTTATCCTCATATCAGACATAAACAGAGATATACACCACAGCACCGTATCATCCTTTGCGGATGATACTAGGATCTGCATGAGGCTGTCATCTGCTGAGGACGCGGTTAACCTCCAAGAAGATATAAACAAAGTTTTCCAGTGGGCAACGGTAAACAATATGATGTTCAATGAGGACAAATTCCAACTACTCCGTTATGGAAAACTGGAGGAGATAATAACTAGAACAGAGTATACTACTGACTCCGGCCATACAATAGAGCGGAAAAATAATGTAAGGGACCTGGGAGTAGTAATGTCTGAGGATCTCACTTTCAAGGATCACAACAGTGCCACGATCGCACGTGCAAAGAAAATGATAGGATGGATAATGAGAACTTTCAAAACGAGAGATGCCAAGCCCATGATGATCCTTTTCAAATCACTTGTTCTCTCTAGGCTGGAATACTGCTGTACATTAACATCTCCATTCAAACCAGGTGCAATCGTAGATCTGGAGAGTGTACAGAGATCCTTTACTGCACGTATAAGTTCTGTCAAGAACCTTAACTACTGGGAACGCTTGGAAGCACTTGACTTGTACTCGTTGGAAAGCAGGAGGGAAAGATATATATCATAATCTACACTTGGAAAATCTTGGAAGGAATGGTCCTAAATCTGCACACAGAAATCACTCCCTACGAAAGTAAAAGACTGGGCAGGCGATGCAAAATGCCCCCAATAAAAAGTAGGGGCGCCATTGGTACACTAAGAGAAAACACCATAAGTGTCCGGGGCCCAAAACTGTTCAGCAGCCTCCCATCAAGCATTAGGGGAATTACCAATAAACCCCTGGCTGCCTTCAAGAGAGAGCTGGACAGATACCTAAAGTCAGTGCCGGATCAGCCGGGCTGTGGCTCGTACGTTGGACTGAGTGCAGTCAGCAGTAACAGCCTAGTTGATCAGGCCCTGATCCATCGGGAGGCCTGGTCATGGACCGGGCCGCGGGGGCGTTGATCCCCGGAATAACCTCCAGGTAACCTCCAGATGCAACCACAATTAGGTGAGTACACACACACTCAACCACAATTAGGCGAGCACACACACACACACACACACACACACACACACACACACACACACACACACACACACAGGGGCCAGGAGCTGTGAATCAACCCATGTAACCACAATTAGGTGAGTACACACACACACACACACGGGGGCCAGGAGCTGTGAATCGACCCATGCAACCACAATTAGGCGAGTACACACCCACAACCACAAATAGGTGTGTGTGTGTCAGGGGCCCGAGACTGTTCAACTGCCTCCCAGCACACATAAGGGGGATTACCAACAGACCCCTGGCAGTCTTCAAGCTGGCACTGGACAAGCACCTAAAGTCAGTTCCGGATCAGCCGGGCTGTGGCTCGTATGTTGGTTTGCGTGCAGCCAGCAGCAACAGCCTGGTTGATCAGGCTCTGATCCACCAAGAGGCCTGGTCTCAGACCGGGCCGCGGGGGCGTTGACCCGGAACTCTCTCCAGGTAAACTCCAGGTAAACACACGCACACATATCCGGACCGGGAGCCGTGAATCGACCCCTGCAACCTCAACTTGGTGAGTACACACACACACATACATACATACACCACACATATAACAGGCCAAGTGTCTATCGACAAGTGCCTTTGATAACTAGTACCTACTACTACTACTACACACGACAGTGGAGTAGTTACCTGGAGTTTACTTGGAGAGGATTTCGGGGGTCAACGCCCCCGCGGCCCGGTCTGAGACCAGTAGAGGCAAAAATCCATCCATACATACACAGCTTTAAGAGGAGGTACGATAAGGTTATAGAAGTAAAGGAGTGAATTAACCCAGTCGTTTCCAGCGAAGAGGCTCGGCCAACAGCCAAGACCTGACCCCCTGTAACCACATATAAGCTAGTACATACAGGCAAGTACACACGGTTGAGTACGCCAATAAACTATCACAACGGCCCCATAAATTGGCTAATTACGAATACATAAACTAGGCAACGAAAATTGAAGATACGTATTTAATCTTACCTTATAAAGAAAACGAAATCTACGTGATTACGTCTTGAGATGGGAAACTAAAAAATAAAAAACTCAGCGTTGTTCAGTCATGGGTTTGAAGATGGTTCTAAGGGAGTTATTGTTCAGTTCAGTTGATGATGACCTTTAAGTGTTCTGTGTTCACTCATTAGTTTATATTGGAGATATCTGATGAGTGACTGAAGGTTCAGGATTGTTGCTGCTACAGCTGCGTCTCCTGTTGCTGTCGTTGCTACAGGTGCGCTGCTGATGTTGCTACAGCTGCGTCTACTGCTGCTGTTGTTGCCATAGCTGCATCTGCTGTTGCTACAGTTGCGTCTGCTGTTACTGCTACAACTGCGTCTCTCGTTGCTGTTGTTGCCACAGCTGCACCTGCTGCTGCTGTTATTGCTACTGTTTTTCTGTTGTCGCTGTTGTTACTACTGCTTTTATGTTGGTGCTACTTCTGTTTTTGTTCTTGCCACAGCCACTTTTGCTCTGGCTACTGTGAGATACAAACTTCTCAATGCATATAAACTTGATTATCTTATTGTAAAGCTAATTAGCTTTGCAAATATCATCGTTACAATGTTATTTAATGCACTTTCATGAGGGCCAAAGCCTAATTTCCGTTTTTTTCTTTGCAGATCTGCCCCTGGAGCCTCGGGAGATACACGGAGGTAATATAAGGGAACTAGTGAGACACCTCCTGGCTTCCTCCAACCCAGCCTCCCTGCCTCCAGCACGCATCGAGAACGCCAGGACTCTGCCCACCTTCATCCAGAAGCTTGGAAAAGCGAGGCGGTGCTAACTAAAGAATACTAGCCTGGGAAACTTCCAACCAGGCGCCTGGACTTCAGTTCGCGCACGGAATGAACGAAAGTGACCCATGGGAAGAAGGGCAAATCATCCTCGAACATTGCTGTGATCCTGTGGATAGTGTGGAAAGCGTAGCTGGGGTAAACCAGCCCGTGCTCAACCACTGAACTGGTTAGCTAACAAAGACCTCTGTCAGGAGGCGCGTCCTGTTTCCTGACTTAAGATTATCTATTGAAAAAACTAGACACTTCCAGGGTACTGAACTGAAAAGACAGATGAAAAGAAATTCAGTTTTCGTGCGAGTTCTTGTCTCAAGTTTAAATGTTGAATGGATGTGTTTTTGAAAGATACTTGTAACATATCAAGACAGAGTGGCGATTCAAAAACAGAAACCAGAATGCCTTTCCTGTTGTCAAACAGGCAAACAGGGCATTAATTTCAAGTCTGAAATACTGAAAAAATGGGAATCGGTGAGTCTGGAAGAATTTAAGTGAATTTAAACAGGTTATCCCTATCGTGTTATGGCAAACTCGGTTGTACTGTCGTCAAGACCAAGTTGCCTTAATTGCATTCTTCAAAGGGGGTGCCTTGTTGCTGGTGCAGGACTCTTGATCGAAGGAACTGGAGCTACTCTACCCTTTAGGGTAATAACAAATGGTTATAACTATGGTCATAATTTTTAAAGGGGTGGAGGGGTAAGCCAGCGGAAGGCCTCGGTCAGATGACCAAAAGCTCCAACGGCGGGTCATCATCTGACTAAGACCCGCGTCAGGAAACACTTGTTCTTTTTCCTGACGGACCTTACCTAATAATAATAACAATAACAATAATAATACCGTTGGAAGAGGTGAATTTGATTCTCGTGTAAAGATCTGTGCTATAATTTGATTAAATTCGTGGGGAAGCGCTAAACTTGTATGGGAGGGATGGTGGCGGGGTAACTGGGTTGCATCCGAGGGAGTGGACTAGAGTTCCAACTCTCTGGATCAAGAGCCCCACACCAACATCAGATCCTCATTATCCCACACAGCTTAACTGCAAATCAGAAAGCAAGTTTTTCTATAGAAAGGACAAAAAAAGAAGAAAGGCATCAGGCTTTTATCGTGACAACGTTTCGCTCTCGAGTTTCGTAATGCTCCACACAGCGTCTCGTTATATTTGAGGCTTGATATTTGCCCTCTGAAGAGATTTGCTTTGTCAAGGTTTTCTGTACCTGTTTCTTTTCCTGCATGTTGGCAACATCCCTTTGTATCCCTGGAAAAAGCTTGGAAATGACAAGATAAAATGTGCTGGAAGAGGATAAAGCGGACGGTAGAAAACCAAACAAGAAAAGGTTACCTTCCAAGAGATGTTTTGTGAAGATAAGAGAGCGAGGACCCTGAACCCAGAGACTCAGTGACTGGCGGACAGGTAGTCTCTTCTGGACATTGTGGGCGACTGCGGACACTATGTGATTATTCGAGGATACTGTCAACCCAGTGTGTGTGGTCACCTTTTGTATGTGGCTTTGTAACATCGTTGGCAACTTAAGGACATCCAGGGACATTTAAGGGGATATTCTTTGATCGTTTCGGTGGCGTCGATAAAGAAATCTGAAGACAGCATAACCAGACACAACGTTGCTCACATCCGACATTATGGCGAAATCTCAGGGCAGTATTTTAGCGATATCGGGGACAATGAAGCATATCATGAAATGCCATAACATCCGTATTTACCAGGAATATGGCAAATAACCTCAAATACTGTCAACTGATAGTTGATACCTAGGAGTTTAGTCGGCTGATGCTAGTCGCATCATGAGAAAGAAAATGACGCCAGTGAAAATGTCACAGTGCTTGGCTTTCTTGGGATTTCCTGGGTTAGTAAAGCATCGGGATTACAAATGAATCTTCGACGTGATACACTATATAAAACATTGATATTTTATAAGCTTTGTGTGTGTGTGTGTGTGTGTGTGTGTGTGTGTGTGTGTGTGTGTGTGTGTGTGTGTGTGTGTGTGTGTGCGTGTGTATCCCTTGATAAGCCTGTGGCTAGGGGATACTATATTATAAAAAAAGGCAGTTGTGTGGTAGCTCCAGGTAATCCTCAGAGACGCTTCAGTGAGGGCTTGCATGGTTCGGTGACCCCATGTGCATCACGGGGAGAAAGTACCCTGCTGGTGACTGCTTACCACACCTGCTCGACCACTGTGATACTGCTTACCACACCTGCTCGACCACTGTGATATCGCTTGCCACACCGTACCGACATTGCCATTATTAAATTTATCAAATTCATGGAAGAACACTAAACCAATGCACGGCTCATATAGAGCGTGGAGGAATGGGGAACAACGAGATTCGACCTATAGAAGGGGCGGTCATATTCCTTGTATATAAATCCGTCATGAACATCAAAGAACCTTCATGGATAGCAACTGCCACATCAGAAACGGGTTAAATACAAGGATGGTACATAGTGTTTTTTTTTGAAAAAAAAAAGCCTATGAATATTACACGGAGTGATAACAAGAGCAACGGAGGTGCCATTAGCAGTAACAGAAGCACCACCAGCAACAGAAGTAGCCACAACAGCAACGGACACAGCGGAAGAAAACTAGCAACTCAAATAACGACCGCAACAGTAGAAACATATGTCAGAAGGAGCAACAGAGAAAAGCACCTTTAGTAGAACACAACAGTCAACCACCTGCCCCAACCCTCCTGTTACCGTGACCTCTGTTTCTTCTTCCTTTAACAATAAACAAAGAAGACAAAAGCCCTAGTGACGCGCGCACAATTGTTCTCAAAGTCTATCTGCAAAAAAAAAAAAAAAAGAGAGAGAGAGATTGGAAACAATAGATGTGTTAATTTTGTTTGCCATTCATATGGGGGCCATTATTTTTTCACGATAAAAAAAGGTGAGCATATGTCCGTTCTCTGTACTGTTGCAACGTCTGTTCTCTAATCTTGAGAACCTCTGAAGAGTCCTGTAGAATGTCCTAATGTACATTCAGATGTCCGAAATGTGAATGACTTCGAGTTCACTGCAGAGTCGAGTCGAGTTATGAATGTTGTTACTGTGAAGGCATGATGACATTACGTTTTCTGTTTACAAAACTAAATTTGTGGTCAACTATTTTAAAAAATTTAAGTGACTAATGGTAAACTAGTTTATAATATAACTATGAGCCATGAACTGAAGCTCTTGCAAACTGCAATATGAAAAATAAAGCACGAAAAGTGAAATGTGCCTTGCTGAACTACGTTATCCAATACGTCATTATCCACTAGGATAAAATGACATTCCATCATCATATAAACTGGATTTATTATGCTGTTTGGATAAGGACAGTTTATTATTATCCAAGAAAGTAAACGACCACTATCTGCAGTGGATATCATTGTTCATAGCATAAAGAGGAAAAAGAGCCTTACTTATTTCTATGGTGTCCATAGTGTGACCCGGAAGATAAAAGACTTTTCTCATTACATAACCCGGAATCATTCCCAGGTCTGTGATAAACCTCATCTTAGATATGACAGTCTGTCATGTTAAACGTGTGCTCACCTCCGTAAGATATTCAAGGAGGTTGTTCAGTGTTTGTTCATGTGAACAATTGAGTGTGTGGGTAACTTCAGTGTAGGGTAATATTCTTGTTCAGCATCGTTCCAGCTAGTGGAACAAACCGTTCACTGTTGGACTACTCTATATGTCTATTGTAAATTGTTCATTAAGCTTCTAGAGCCGAGGTATGACAGTCTGTTGCCTATCTGTGATAGGCTATATTGTGATAGTGCCTATCTGCGATAGCCAATTTAACTGGATTCATGGAGAAACGGTAAATACTTCGAGGTGGTACAACGCCAGGGGGAATGATGTTTGACCCAAGGGAGGAGTGACTCCAATTCCTTGGATTAAGAGTCCTTCCCGAATATCAATGCTCTCCCCTGGAAGGGTATCCATAGCAGTTTTGCCAAAGCTTTCCTGGCCTGTTTAATTTTCTTTTTTTTTCAACGTGAATGTATGTACTTATTGTCTACTAAAAGAATAGTGTAGTTTCCCCTCTTTGTGTAATACAATTACGTACTTATGTCTGCCTTAATAAATTTATTATCTTGCCAAGCGTGACCTGATTATACAACAGACAGGTCCGTAAGTCAATAAATGTATTGATCATTCACGAGACTGAACAGAACTTGAAGCCTACCGAGTAACAGGACGTTTTCTGTTGTGGGTTTTAGTCATATAACGACCCACATCTGGAGTTTCTGGTCATCTGACCGAAGCCTTCAGCTGGCTTACTGTTCAACCAATTTAAAAATTATGATTATGATTGTACCCATTAAGAGTCCTTCACTGTATGTCAATCAGGCTGTGCTTATATCCCTGAAATATAACACAGACCTGGTCTGTCAAATCCACACTAGCATATACTGGAAGCCACCGATAGGAATAAGACCCATCGTAGGATGAACAGTCTAGTTGATCCTACGTGGGCTGTCGACTACAAGTCGATTAGGACATGATGTATGCTATACCCTAGGTAATACGCAATTTTGAATGTATATACACCTCTAGGTGTATATACACCAGGGTATATACACCTCTAGGTGTATATACACCAGGGTATATACACCTCTTGGTGTATATACACCAGGGTATATACACCTCTTGGTGTATATACACCAGGGTATATACACCTCTTGGTGTATATACACCAGGGTATATACACCTCTTGGTGTATATACACCAGGGTATATACACCTCTTGGTGTATATACACCAGGGTATATACACCTCTTGGTGTATATACACCAGGGTATATACACCTCTTGGTGTATATACACCAGGGTATATACACCACTTGGTGTATATACACCAGGGTATATACACCTCTTGGTGTATATACACCAGGGTATATACACCTCTTGGTGTATATACACCAGGGTATATACACCTCTAGGTGTAAATACACCAGGGTATATAAACCTCTTGGTGTATATACACCAGGGTATATACACCTCTTGGTGTATATACACCAGGGTATATACACCTCTAGGTGTAAATACACCAGGGTATATAAACCTCTTGGTGTATATACACCAGGGTATATACACCTCTAGGTGTAAATACACCAGGGTATATAAACCTCTTGGTGTATATACACCAGGGTATATACACCTCTTGGTGTATATACACCAGGGTATATACACCTCTTGGTGTATATACACCAAGGTATATACACCTCTTGGTGTATATACACCAGGGTATATACACCTCTTGGTGTATATACACCAAGGTATATACACCTCTTGGTGTATATACACCAGGGTATATACACCTCTTGGTGTATATACCCTGATACAAGGGCATTTACAGAAAGGTGCAAGAGGAGGCATCTGCTTCGTGCATTCAACAAAACTGCCATTTCTAACAAAAGAATAGCAACAGCACCTACGATAGGCTTTTGTTGGATATCTATATCTTGTCAGCGTGACAGATACCCTTCTACAGACTGACATTTAGAATTTTATCTGAGGACTGACATTTACCCTTTATCCTAGTTTTTTTTTTTCTTTAAGCGATTTTTCCCGTCCAACAAGAGTACATTTTCCTTCCTTACCCTTTTGAAAACAATTCTTTGAGCGCCCATACAGTCTCATACACACCTCTTGGTGTATATGCTGGAATATACCAAGCATTGTATATACCATGACGAGACTTACCCTTCCTCCCTTCCCGTCTGGCATTAACTAACAGTTAAGTTGGTCTGTGATTGGCTGATGTATTGCATGTTGACATTTGTTGTAGAGGTTAAGTGGAGAAGCTGGTCCATGATTGGTCAATGATTGACCAATCATGATCAGTCATTGGTAACTGTTGGGTTCAACCAGTGATTATGGGGAAGACAAACTACAGAATAAACTGTTATCGAGACGTTTCGCTCTTTGTAGGGTTTTATCAGCTAGCCTGGGCGGGTATACCAGTGAATGTGAGTGAGAATTGGAGCCGCCTAGCGTATACGTCCTACAGTTCCTTCATTCCTATGCAAAGTAAAAGGACACAAGTGTAACTAATGTGGCATTTTATTGTGGCAACGTTTCGCTCTCCAGGAGCTTTATCAAGCCGTAACGGCTTGACAAAGCTCCTGGAGAGCGAAACGTTGCCGCAATAAAATGTCACATTAGATGCACTTGTATCCTTTTACTTTACATATTATCGGTAATTCTACGAACATTATTACTTATGTTAATACAAAGAGCGAAACGTTGTTCCAGTAACATTTTTCCAACGTGCGTATTACGCCATCTAGATACAGCTGAAACTACTCTCAAGTTTATACTTACAGAATTCAATTACAAAGGTGTAATTAAGCCCAATGTGGTCTGGTAAAGACCCACTGTGACCTCTGTAATCCTACTAAGCACTAGTAGTCAAAGGACGAGCATTGGATAAGCAGTAAACTAGCCACTCAGGCTAGTTTACTGCTAGTTTACAGGCTAGTTATGAAAACTACAGGTGATTAATGGGAATTCAAGCCTATCAACTGTGTGAGTAGTCTAGATAAAACTGTGAAATTACGTGTAAATGCTGTAAGAGTCCATCCATTAAGAGGACGTACCTTGATTCTGTGTTTTGGTTACCCATCTCATCTGATAAAAAAAATACTTGGAGATGAATGGTTCACAGAACCGACACGTTGATAAATTAGACACATGTGCAACTCTTGGGTATCTTTATTAAGGAAACGTTTCGCCACACAGTGGCTTCATCAGTCCATACACAGGAGAAACTTGAAGAACAGGAGGAGAATGAGGTAATCAGTCCCTCGATGGACTGACCACATCGACTCAAGGTTGAGGGACTGATTACCTCATTCTCCTCCTGTTCTTCAAGTTTCTCCTGTGTATGGACTGATGAAGCCACTGTGTGGCGAAACGTTTCCTTAATAAAGATACCCAAGAGTTGCACATGTGTCTAATTTATCAAAAAAATACTTCTCATTCCCCAGTCGATGGATGACCCCCTTCCCGGCACCATGACAAGTTCGAAGACAAACCTTTGGATTTGCCATTTGGGCATATGTAGGCTCCACACTGGTGCTGTGTACTCGAAAATACACTTGAGATATGCTTGGTTAATGTAATTTTAAGCATATCAACTACACGAAGGTCGTTAGAGATGCTCGTAACCTGTCCACTACGTCAAGGATACTGATCTCTTGAGCAAGGACAGAGGTAAAATAAGCGTGTATACACTGAGATACAGCTGTCAGTGTTGTTGAAAACAGTATAAAATACTTTCAAGTTGAAAATTAAGACATATGCACAACAGGTATCTTCATTGACGAAACGTTTCGCCTACACAGTAGACTTCTTCAGTTAAATATAAAGGCAGAAGCAGTAACTACACCTGCTGCCTCTAACTGGAGATGTCTACTGTGTAGGCGAAACATTTCATCAATAAAGACACCCAACCGCTGTACATGTGTGTTAATCTTCACCTCTCGGTGTATATAACCGTGACAATGTGTATAAAACCTTAAATGACTTTCCGATTATCCCAAAAAGCAGTGTATATACACTGACAGACATATACATCTGTGTACATATACCCAGTACCCCTGTATTTACAACTGTTAATAATGAAATATTTAACAAATGCAGGAAGACAAGCCGAATTGTAAAAGTTTTTAATGCATCTATATTTAAGGAATATGCTTTAAGTAGATTTTGTTAAGTAACACCTGTAAATTTACCCGTTCTTGCCATACTAATACAAAATACTACAGAAAGCAGCCATTAACGAACATATTTAAATAAGTAACCCCCTCCCTTTTTATATAAACAAAGTGATAATTGTGTTTTTTAAATGTAATATCAGAAAAAAAAGGATCTTGTAATTTAAAAACAAAATTAAATTTTTTTGTGTGTATGTATTTCATAATTTTAAGATTTTTTTTTTAGGTATTCAGTGAAGGGATAACATTTATAATTTTGGAAGACCATGTGAAGTATTTTTATATGTAAATTTAATTGTTTAATATATTTAATCTCGAAAATACTGATATATGTTGACATAAAATTAATTTGAATAATAAGAGAATGAAAAGTCTTCAGCATTAATAGATAAAAAATGTGTTTATACATTAACATAGTTTTGTATTGGGTCATCAGTATGATTTAAGAGTCGTGTCAGGATTTTTTTTTTTTTTTTTTAAGATCGACACCATGCCCAGCCCTTCTAGGGTAGGGTAGGTGCCTGAGCCCGAGCCTTTAGCTCATAAGACTGTCATTCCCATTAGCCCCCTTGGGGCGGGGATGGCAGACCAGAGAGGCCTAGCTTGTGGCTAGGCCTGGGGACAGTTGGTCCCAAAGATGAGGAGGTACTTGTGCCTCCTCCCATGGGAGACTTAGGTCTCAGATACTCCCTAAAGAGGGAGCCAAGGCCGGGCCACCACTTGGAAAAGGCCCGGGCCGGGAGAATACCGGCTAATATTTAATAATAATAATAATCATTTTTTTGAAGAGAATATAAACGTAATCATGTCTCGTATTTAGGTGATAAACAGTGCTTTAGCTGACAATAATTGTGCCAAAAGGTGTATGTATATATATATATATACTGATATTGTACAGAACGTTGTTAGCATACCATTTTTTTATATCAATAAATCCACTTTATATAGTTTTCATTTTGTTTAGTTACCCCGTCTGCAAAACTGTAAAGACAGACCCTGTAACCAATTTCTAGGATTCCATTACCAGAGGATTACCAGGCAAACCACACTTGTTGCGTCAATATTCCTGATGGCTGCTGGTAGAAGGTTCGATAGTCTTGGGCCACGGAAGTTGATACAATGCTCTCTTATTAATCCTGCGGTGCCCCTGCTCTTCACCGAATTTGTTGACCACTTCTTCCCATAACTCTCACTCCAGTACATTGTTATGATAATGTGTAGATGTGAGACTAGACCCTCCAGTATCTTCCATGTATATATTATCTGATATCTTTATCTGATTCGCTCCAGAGAATACTCCCACACCCTTCTAACTTACTCCCACACCTCTTTCACCGCCATTCTCTTCTCACCCCACATCCTTCTAACTCCCACATCTTCTAATCTTCTATGGGTGTTTACCTTGCTTCCCACCTCTAACTTTTCTAGGGAGAGAGGCACGACCATAGGCGTCGTGTACTCGGCCTACCTCAGGGGGCTGGACGAGGTGTATAAAATATAGGTTTTCATGATTTCTCGAATGTTATCCTCATTCCAAATGTATCATTTAAAATCACATCTTTAAAAAAAATATTTACATACGCACAGAGGGGAAAGAAAATATTCAACCGTGATTGTTCTCAACAATCACGTCCCCTCATGGAAGGTTCCTTGATGTTGGTGAGGGGCTCTTCATTTAAGGAATTGGATCTGTGCTCCAGTTCCCCGAATTAAGCCTGAATGCCTTCCACATCCCCCCTCTCCTGGGCGCTGTATAATCTTACGGGTTTAGCGCTTCCCCTTGATTATAATAATAATAATAATCAACAATCACGTGCAAGGAAAACTTTCTCTCTCTCCATGAAGTGTAATCAACCAACTTTTAACTCACAACACAGGCAAGTACTCAGTCCTGAGTACATCTACTCAAGTTGGGACATTAACAACATCCAGAGCTAATTACCCATCACATAAAGTGGTCGGAATTGCTTGCTTCTAAATTGGGGAGGGTTAACATAGAGGAAGGAGATGGAGGGAGAGGGAGGAATGAAGCCAGGGGAATGAACTTACTGAGATGGAATGTTGTAGGAATGAAATTTCTTAGATAAGAGTTATTTATATTAT